CTGGACAAGAGGGAGGGCTAACGAGGAGGGGTAGACCACAGACAAGCTGGCCAAGCCCCGCAACGATAACATCAACTTGCGGTCAACATGATTAGCACCACAGACGCTATAATTAGCAACGTGTCCCCCCCAAGAAGCCAAGGAAAACATTGTGGCACAATATTCAGCAAACGCTGGGTCAGCGCTGCACGCATATCCCCGTGCTTGCGCAGGGGTGCCACAAGCTGAAGCTGGGCCAGCTTCCTGGACGCCGCTCAAGAACGCGCTGCTCACGAAACGCTGGGCCACAGTAGAAAAGGGATGCCCCTGAATAATCGGGGCACTCGCAAGGGAGAACCTTCAACCAACAAAAGTATCAAACGGATTGTACTGTGCGGGCGCTTGGCATGCAAGAGCCGGGTCCTGGGGATCGGTCGTTAACTCATGGGGGGGCAGCGTGCACCTGTCGTGCCCCTTTGGGGCCCCAGAAGGCCCCGTCAGGGCATGGCATGCGCACCTCTTCTGCGCCCCCCATTCCTCGACGCCCGAAGGGAAAGCGAGTCCTGATCCGCGCGGCCCTGGGACATTGTTGGTCTTGTCTTGCGGACCGCCTTTTGACAATCCCGTGGCGCGGGGAAGGCTCCAAGAGCCCGAAGACGACGGAACAAACCTCTGCACCCGTTCCAGTCGGGACGCCCTGCCTTCACGCCGAGGGCCTGCAAGTGCGACAGTGCGACAGGGATGACAGCCCAGCCATGTGCACCGTTTGAGAAAGGGATTGACTACACAATTGATTTACCGCTAGATTGATGTTTCGTCGAACCGCAAGTTCGACAACCATTCTACATACTCTTCGTAGTTCCGGCGAGGACATTAATTTACATCAATTCTGTAGACGATCGATCTTTTTCGAAACGTAATTGATTTCTCACAACACATCGTGACCGTCGGGGCCAACCCTGTAGCCGGCCTTGGGGCGAGATCACGACTCTGGCATCCGCCGACTCTGTCGGCGCGTGTGAGGGGATTTTCCGTTTGAGTCGTCGTCCTCGCCGCTTTCGCCTATCTTGGCTCTTTTCTGTTTGAGTCGTCGTCGTCGCCGTTCTCCTCCCGTCTCTGGGCCGCCTTCCTCAAACGTTCCTGCCACATGGAATTCGAGCAACGTCGAAATCGAGTGAAAGTGAAGTCCGCTTCCCTGTCATCCCTCCCAGCCGGGGACGGGGTCCCCGGAGAGGGGTCCCGTGAGATATAGAAAAGGCAAAGAGTTTGGGAAAAGCAGAGTGCCCGTAAAGGGCACAAAGCAACAGTGCCGACCGCGAAGGTGGAGAGGGGGAAGTCGACAAACCGAATCGAGCGAACAACCGATCGCCTCCGCAGCCGACTCTTCCTCCCCATTGACTGCCTACCAAACCACTTCAACCCAACCCGAAGACCCGAATCTCGCCCGAGTTTCGGGTTGGGGGGGGAGGTACGGGCTTCATATGTGTCTTTCCAATGTTCCCCGACCCCCCCCCGCTGGAAATGGAGGGCACATTAGGGCCTTCTGGTTGGGTTGGGGTGGTCTGGTGGGCGGTGGCCCATGCCTCCCAGGCCGTGACTTCGGGGGTTGCTAAAGGTACCCCTGACCCAAGGTGCCCCCAGCTTTTCGGTCCATTCTGGAGCCCCCGGAGGCCTGTGGGCCTCGTTGGGGGTGCTCTGGAGGCCGTGGGGGCCTCCGTGGGAATCCTGGGGGTACCTTGGGCCATGGGGCACTTCTTCGCCGAGCGCGTTCCACTACTCGCAAAGTGCCTACTCACAATCGTCCGAAAACCCCCTGTCTGCTCTGACGTAACTTATCGCAGATCCCCGGCGGGGGATCCAGACCACTTGCGAGTAGTTACTCTGCGAGTAGTGGAACGCGCTCGTCGACTTCTGGCAGCACCCGCGCCCCGTGCGCTCGCCGGCCCCGCGGCGCGCAAGCTTTTGTGGGCCCCGCGGGCCGGCCCTGCCCGTCGGGCCCCTGCTGGATCTCGGACCGCGAAGGTCCTCCTCGAGGTCCTCCTCCTCCTCCTCCTCCTCCTCCTCCTCCTCCTCCTCCTCCTCCTCTCTCCTCCTCCTCCTCCTCCTCCTCCTCCTCCTCCTCCTCACCTCCTCCCTCCTCCTCCTCCTCCTCCTCATCCTCCTCCTCCTACTCCCTCCTCCTCCCTCCTCCTCCTCCTCCCTCCTCCTCCTCCCTCTCCTCCCCTCCTCCTCTCCTCCTCCTCCTCCTCCTCCTCCTCCTCCTCCTCCTCCTGCCTCCTCCTCCTCCTCCTCCCTTTCCTCCTCCTCCTCCTCCTCCTTCTCCTCCTGCTCCTCTGGTCGAGCCGTCGTGCTGCCGAGGGGGCGCTCAAGACGGGGGGCAGAACTTTGGAGGCCTGGGAATGGGCACCAGCACCAACACGGGGGGCTTCCTCCACCAGGGGTAGACGATCCCAGATCTCGGTGCTGGTGGTGATCTTTCGGCCGCCTGGGAAGCCAGAATATTACCACCATCACCGAGATCGGGGCACTCTTCCCTCGATGGAGGCACACCGCCGATATTTTTGTTGTTGGTGTCGTGGACATCCTCTGGCGGCGCGCAACAGGGGGTGGAGGGAGGGGGGAGAGCTTCTCAGAAGGAGGCTGCTTCTTAGAAGGCGCCGGACTTGCATTCTGTAGATGAGGCCCGCGCCTCCTAAGAAGCAGGGGGGCTTCTGAGAAGCCCTCCCCCCTCCCCACACCCCCCTCTGCGCGTGGCTGAACCATGGTCAGCGGCACGAGATCTCCCCAGTGTCATGGCCGCCTCTTCCTCTTCCAGCATGTCCTCTGGCCCTCCCCCGTGCGCGCTCATTGCTCGGGCCACGATGCGCTGACCCCCCTCTTCCTGGCCCCCTCTCCCACGCGCCCGGGCACCCAACTCGGACGGGAAACGGACCCGATGGCGCCTGGCTCTTCTCGGCTACACGCAAGAGCGGCCCTGGGCAGGAGTGACCTTTGGTGCGCGGCTCAGCGGGGGGCGCGGGGTGGCCACACCGGGGCGCGCAAGCCGCTGCCACCGCTTCACGCTCAGCCATCGGGGGACCCCGTTGGGCCCGCACCGCAAGCCACTCCGGCGAAAAGTCACCCTTACGTCTGGCCGATCCTCGCGAAATAGAATCGGGATCGGTCGTCTGAGATCGCGAGTCGGGCTTGGCTCTGTCGGGGGTGGCCAAGAGGGGGGCGTCCAAGAGGGGGGGGCGCAAATCATGGCCGGCAGCATGTGCGCGGCCCAGCGGGGGGGCCAGAGACGTGATGAAGTAAGAAGATGCGCCATGAAATCTGGGGAGATCTCATGGCCCCCGCCATGATACCCACCCCCCTCTAGTCATCACCCCCCTCTTGGCCGTCCCCGACACTGGCAGGCCAGAGAGGGAACCGGTTCGTGCTGGATCGGATTGGCTCTAGATCGGAATCAAAACTCGGGGATCGGATCGGATCGAGCCGGACCGTGAGCAGCCCTGCCGCCTGTGCGCTCGTGAGGGGGGCGAGTTCTCTCTCCAAGCTTCGGGCGCCCACTTTTTCTCCCGTCGGTTCGCCAGGCCTCTCCACGGGGTCTCCGGTCGAGTCCGCTCGAGCGCTCCGAAACTAATGGCTAATTGGCTCCCTCCCTCCGCTTTCACGCACCTGCCTTGCCACAAAGATAATCCGCTGCACTGCTGAGCAACTATGCCAGCCTATTTGTGATATAATTTCGCGGGCGCCATCGTTGAGCGCACGTCTCAGGAAAGCTATGCTACACCCCAAGCGCAAGGAGTCGAAGGCGAGAAGAGAACATGAGTGTGTACAGGGGGTGCATAAGTGTGGCATCGGGATGAGAGAGATGCAGAGAGAGGGAGGCAGAGAGAGCGAGAGAGAGAGAGAGAGAACAAACAAAAAACATGCACACCTTTCGCCGGCCCAACGGGCCAGATGCGTGCTAAGATCTCCGGTGACTGGTTAACAATATTTCTAGTTCGCGCGCGCGGGGCGGCCCCTGGGGCTCCCCGGGCGAAAAGTACCCTGGGCAAGTCCCGGGAGGGTCGGGCCAGAGATGCCCGACCGGGCAATTCTTCGACACCCCTCACGAGGATCGTGGCCTCCGAAGGGGGGGCCGCAATCGACTGCCCCCCCTCCTGCCCCAAGAGGCCCCCAAGAGCCCCCAAAGAGGCCCTGGGGGCCCTCAGAACGCCTCCCAGGCGCCCCAAGAGACTCCCAAGAGGTCCCCTAGAGGCCCCCAAGAGGCCCTAAAGAGGGCTCCAGGGCCGGCGGAATGAGCGAAGCGATTAAATAACAAACCATCAAAAAGCATGAGTAGAGAGAGAGAGAGAGGAACAAAAAAGGGTAATGCTACCGCGGCATACGGGCACGAAGAGTTCTTCTTCTTCTTCTTCTTCTCTTTCGTCTTCTTCTTCTTCTTCTTCTCGAGAGAGAGAGAGAGGGAGAGGGAGACAGAGAGATACAACCCAAAACACATAGGAGATCAAACAGAGGCAAGTGTCGAGATACCTCCGATCAGTCCTTGGACCCCCTGAGGGGAAGGAGCTGTATTAATTATTCGCTTGCGCCAAAGGCCTACTTCTGCGTACGAAAGCCAGCAAACAGCAGCTCACAGAGGAAGAAGCAAGCGGCCCAATCATGAGCCTTTGTGGACCCCCTCCCTGGCGCGCGGGGCGCGCCAGGTGACTGCAGCGCAGATCCCTCAAAAAATCTGCGCGCACCTTCGAACGCTCGCGCTTTGCGCCTTTGCATCTTCCTGGGAGCGCGTTTCTTTATCTTCGGCGATAGTGGGTATCATAGGGGGGGGAGGGGCCAGGGGGGGGATGTAATGCAACGCCTCCCCCCCGCCGTGCGCACGGCGGCAGTGCCCTGAGCGCACTGGGGGGAGGGGAGGGGCGTTACGTTAAAACCCAGACCCCCGACGTCATGATTTTTTCATGACGCGACCCCCGAAGGTCCGGACCCATTCCCCGGGACCAGTTTCTCATCCCGAGTCGTTTTCTGACGGT